CGAGGCGGAGCTGGTTCTGCTGCCCCTTTTGCCGGCGGTGGAGCGTACCGTGATAATATTATCGATCATCTTTCGAGTTTCTTTAGTTAGTACGTCATGGGGAAAAATTTTGGAAACAAACTCTAGGAACTTTCTGGAAAACTTTTGAAAAAATAAGGAAAAAGGTCTGAATTTGTCTCTGGAAAACTTGCAGAACCGATAAGGAGTCGTCAAAAATGAAGGCATTGCTGAAACTGCAGGGAAGGTCTTGCATGTTTCTCGATTTCTGTTTTGCTAGCACTTCATATAGACGAAATGTTTCTTTTTTTAATTTTCCTTAATGTGAGTTCAAGCTAAGGAAACTTAGTTAGGAAAACTAAATAGAAATAACATTGCATTTTTTGTTTCAATAATCAATTCTTAATATGAAAATATAGCTATTCTCAAATACGCCTTTCTGGAGTGTTCCACCTGATGGACGCTGGCGTTGAGAACTAGAAGCAGAAAAAGGATTGTAAATGCTGTCACTTAAATGATGTTCTTAGGCTTTAGTGTCCTGTCTATAACAGTTTATCTAGCTTTTCTACATATAGCTATTAAATTAAGTACTGTAGAGTTTAAAGTACTTAAATACAAGAAAATATGATTAATGTAGGAAAAGCATTAATTAAAAAATATTTATCCATGTAATAAAAACCCCAATGTATTATACTTTTGAAGGTGGTTGTTGGAGATCAGGACGGAGTCATTACGTGTTTTGGCATAAAAAAAGGGGAAGCTGTGGTAAGTGGAAATGCTCCATTTACAATTTTATCTTCACTCTTCCTAATGAACTTTGGAAGTCTGTTTTTATTGATATGGGAAATAAGATATCTGTGGAAGGCGTCGGGTAGAGATGTGGACAGATACCTAGCCATGATGAGGTCATGCTGGTTTCATGCCTGGACAGCACATTGTCCTCCGCAGTTGCAGAGTCAGACATGAGTGTGTATCGTCACAGAGGTCGGTTTAACACCTGCTGCTCTGCAGGTCTGTTGGGCTTAAGCCTTTACATGTACTCAGTTACTGTGACTGGAGAAAAGCCTGCCCTGATTCACTAAGTCAGTGTCTTTAGGAGGTTTTGACAAACTGATTGCTTTATGAGCCTAGACTTAGGCCCAGCTTAATAAAAATTTATTACTTTATTTTATTTTCCCCTCGAGGAAGTTCATAGCCAGCAATACAAAGAAATCTACTTAAGTCTTCTGGGATAAAAATGCAGCATGTGAGAGGGAGTGAGTGTGTATGAGTGTGTGTATTGTTCTTTTAAAAAGAAAACAGAAAAAAAACCAAATCAACAACAACAACAAAAAAACTTCTGTTGGAATTTTCGTATGGATGAATAACACTAAAATAATGAAGTATTGATTTATTATGTATTGCAGCTTTTTGTATCCATTGACTTATAAAACTCTTGATTGCTTTATGATTCTGAAGAGAAATGTCCAGATTATTTTTGTCTGCATATAATCCATAGTATCCTTAGTTTTGTCAGAAGTTGTAAAGCAAATTTATTGGCCTTTATGTTAAAAAACTACCATAAATATGATATTGTGATGATGTAAATTGCTTTTCTATTTACAGCCTGTGTTCAAGACACTGCCAGGCCAAAAAATTGCGAGATTGGAGTTGGGAGGAGCTCTTAATACACCACAAGAGAAAATCTTTGTGGCTACAGGATCAGAAGTGAGAGGTTTCACAAAAAGAGGGAAGCAGTTTCTTTCATTTGAAACTAACCTCACCGAAAGCATCAAAGCTATGTATGTATGATATTTTGCATTTTTTTCATAGCTGTAGCAGATTGTTAGTATATGATTTAATGAAATATTTTTTTACTGTATTGTGTGCTTGTAGGTAACACTAAGTGCCAGTCCAGCTTTAGCTTGTGCCATGACATGTAGGAAGGCACTTAGAAAATCATGGTGAAGTTTAGAGAGTGTACGGGGGCTTGGGAGGGGTCTGAAGGGACTCACCTCAGTGCAAATGCAGGTGAGCCGAGCTGGAGTCATTGCCGTAGCGTATCATGTCCATGTACCCTTCTTGTAGCAGAATAGGAACAAATCTTTTTCTGTTTTCTTCTTGGATCGTGTTGTAAGATGCTGCTATATGTAAACCGGCTTGAGAAGAGTTCATGTCATCAAAATATATTAACGAAGTTTCTGTAAGGCATTCTTAAGATTTTATGTGAAGAGAAAATGTGAAATTTGAGAGCTATAGAAGTCATATGGTTTTAGCACTCGTAAGAAACTTTTTTTAATAGCTGGAGCAGCTTGCAGGGCCCACTAGTGCCTCGAATCCACAAGGGGTAGCGCGTGCGTATAGTAGGGCTGAAGGGCTGTTACTGCAACTACACTGAGAAAGTGCTACAGGAAGTGTTTTCTTTTTCTCAGGCACATTTCAGGAGCAGATCTCTTTCTTTGTGCAAGCTATATCTATAACCATTACTGCGACTGCAAAGACCAGCACTACTACCTGTCAGGAGATAAAATCAATGATGTTCTCTGCCTTCCTGTAGATAAAGTGAACGGCATTACACCGGTACTTGCGTGTCAGGATAGAGTCCTCAGAATTTTACAGGTTAAAATGCTTGTTTATGTTTTATGTATTGATGCCATAGAATTAGACTAATTGTTAAGGGAATTGACCTATCAGCGTGGCTTAGATGTCACAAGGATAAAAGCATATTGTATCTTACTTGGTGGTGTTGCTGTCTAGAATGCTGGTGCATTATTATAAACTTGCAAAATGAGAACGAATAAAATCACTGTAACTAGGCTTTGGAATTCATATGTGGAAGTAGGTAACAAATTAGTCCTTTCTAATTAAAAGTGCTCAGATAAGGGAGTTAAATGTCCAAGTCTTCATCAGTTTGGAAATTGTTGCTCTCCCAAATTGCTATTGCAACAAGTCTGAGTGATATTAAGTGGTTTAACAAAATTATTTGCCAGACAGATTTGCAGATTATTTTTAATAACACATTTTAAGAGTCCTGTGTTTTATTTATATAAATTTTACCCTGTTTTGGCTTAGAAATGGTTCTTCCATAGGTATTGGGAGTTTGTATGAGTGAAGCATATCCATTATTATTATCATCCATAATAACTTTGTTCTTATGCTTATGAGGTTCTGTTTTGTTTTGTGGTTAGTGTTTTGTGGTGGGGGTTTTTTTGGTTTTGTTGGTGTGGTTTTGTTTGGTTGTTTTTTTTGTTGTTTTTTTAAAAAACTCATTTAAGGTAGTTCTTTTTGGTTTTAGGGATCTGATTTACTGTATGAAGTAGAAGTGCCTGGACCACCTACTGTTCTTTCTCTAAACAATGGAAATGGAGGTAACAAGATTTTGAATATACACATGACTAAATAATGTTATTTTGCTATGTTTTTAAGATTTTTATTGCTTGCGTTTTTAATTACATTGCCTTGATTTTTAAGCTGGTGTTAAAAATGCGACAGAAAACTAATTATGTGAAGTCATTTCTTATATAAAAATAGATATATACACACGCTTATGACTGTTTTAGACAGTTCTAAATGATACTCACATTTAATTGCGAGCATCTTACGATAGCAGTGAGATGTAAGGTGGTCTCATTGTGTAAATACTAACTAGACTTTTGGGGACCTTGTCAAGGTTCTGGATTTGGTTTTCTCTTACTTGTATATTTCCATAACCAGAATCACTAGTTGCATCTGTCCATGGATGGATGAGAATGTTAAGTAGAGCTCACATAAACGAGGACTGTGGAAGGATCAAGCTTAAAATAGTTTGATCATCCTTTTTGCTAATCTGTTGTAGCCTAAAAGAAATCCCTATAGTGTGTTAATCTGGTGCTTAATTTAGTTTCAGGTAGATTGTGTGATGACAATGTTCATAGCTGGTTTGGAAAAGTAGTACTTACTTGCTTAAATCTTGGCACAACATTCACTATTGGATGTGGATTCTGAAGGATTATTTTAGTTTCTCTTCTGTAAAGGCAATTTAATAGCCTGGTTTTGTTGAAATTTCAGGTATGGGATTATGAATGGGTTTTAGGCAGAACTCCAGTGCCAGGGGGGCATTCATACACAGAAGTCTGGTAGCCATGAAGAACTTAACAGAACAGGTGCAGTTTTCATATATTTATGTTTATAAAGCCTGACAGTTCTGTTACACAACACTACTGTTAGTATTTTATTTTTCCCTCAGACTGTAGAGTGTAACTACACAATACTTTCAAATCTTTTAAATTGGTGTACTTGATTTTATCAATTCTAAGTTCAGTTTATGTGTTTAGGTGATTCTGGAGAAGAAATTCTGTATGGAACTTCTGATGGTAAACTAGGTCTGATCCAGATTACTGGTTCCAAGCCAATACCTAAATGGGAAATTGGAAATGAAAAAAAGAGAGGAGGTATGTGTCTCAATCTCTTGCTCTTTAGTTTTCCACCATATCTGAGGCTTTATTACAAGTATAATAATCAGAAAATCTTTCATAGATACTTTGGAGGCATATTGTAATTATGCCAGTATGAGGTATTAAGATGAGTAAGTGCTCTTTCATTCTTCTGATTTTCTTACAAATAAAACTGATCAATTTGTCTTGCTTTGGATTTTCTGTTCATATTATTTCCAGTACTTTACCATACTTTTGTTTTTACAGTATTTTTAAAGTGGCATTTGTAAATTTGCTGGGTTTACATGATGGGGTTTTGGTAGCATGGGAGGGCTGTGGAAATGGCCTCTGTAAGTAGCTGTGAAAAGCTTCCCCCAGCTCCAAATTTGGTTGGACTGGCCTCTGGCCAGGTCAGACCTCCCATCCCCTCAGGCCTTGATATGCTGCTTCTGCAGCATCTATTAGCCCATACTGCTTTGTAAAGGAGAAGACCAAGAATAGAAAATGTATATATATACACATACTTACACACACACTCTTTTATTTCATTATTTTTCATAAAAGCTATCACGAAATTATTTTCTTTACTTACTTTTCATATGAAATATGAACAAGTCATAAAAGTTAAATTCCATCTCGTTTTTCATACTAATTCTTGTACAGACTCTCTCAGTGCTTTTTCCTTCTTGCAGATCCTAACTCTTTCCTGTCCAAACATGATTAATTGTCATAGGCCGGTTCCACAGGCACCAGTAGTGGATTTGTCCACTCGTGTCAAGTAGCAGTACCTAGTCCAGGTCTGGCAGAAGTCGGAACCCTCTTTCTGTCACCTTAGCCAGAATTCCTAGTCATCCATTTACTAATAGCTTGAAGTCAACCATAGGAAACAAAGAATGCTGTGTTCTTCAGCCAGCAAAGTCATAGTAGTATGGACAGACAGATAGTTCATCTGGGAAAATGTTTGACAAGGGAGAGTTAAATCCCTCAAAAGTAAGCTATTCGAACATCAAAAGAGGGTCTCTGTTCAGTGCTTTTCACCATGGAGCTGTAGAGGTTTTGATTTGGAATTGGCTGCTGTAAAACCCACTGTACAGTCTTGAACCTCAGGCACAGCTGAGAGACTCCAGACCCTCTAGTGGAGTCATCCCGAAATAGCAAGCCAACCAAAAATATCTTTCTATGTAACTGGATGTGGCTTGTGTATTATTGTGTCATAAATGAATAAAGGTGAAGTAAAGGGTTTTGTTTTCTTTTTCATCAGGTATCTTATGTATTGATAGTTTTGACATTCTGGGAGACGGCGTTAAAGAATTACTCGTTGGGCGAGATGATGGAATGCTAGAAATCTATAGCTTTGAGAGTGCAGATGATCCTGCCCTTCGATATGATTATGTAAGCCCACATTCAGAATACTCTCTTTTGCTGGAAGAATGAGTTTTTTTAAAAAAACCCCTGTATTTCAAAACTTAAAAGTATTTACAAGGTCATTACTACTACAATGTGTGCTTTGTTTTTAATTTGATGAGCTCTGAAATGTTGACAATATGAACTTCAAAGCAGTCTCCTAATATTTAAGAACCAGAAAGTGAAACAGCCCTGATTTGAGCAAAAATCAAAATAGTGTAGAGGGTGTGTTAAAGTTCTGGCTTTATTGATGACTGAAGTCTCTCCAGGGTGAAACCTGATACAGTGCTTCTCTCAGTGAAGAAAACAACGCCATGTGTGTACAGTCTGTATTTTACATATAAGATAATAAATGTAGGCTGTTGCAACTTTGCTGAGCATAATTACTTTGGTTACGAATTGTTTAAAATAGTAGATTTGATCCATAGTGATTATTTCAGCCTTCAGTCAGATTGCTAGTTCCTGCTGGAAAAAAACCTGTCCATCAGTGTTTTGCTTTAAGTCGCTTTTTAATGTCTTTGTTATGCAAAGTAAAATCGGAATGCAGTTGTTAAACCATCCTGATTTAGCTGTGATGGTCATCAGCTAGCTTACTCTGGTGTAGGTCTAGATATTGCGCGTCTATGGAGGTGTTTTGGGATGCGGGTAAAAGGAGGAACGCAACCCTTAACCCCCACAAACCCCTCAAACTTCTAAAATGAGTGCAGTGATATTTTCCCTCTGCTTGAATGTATTTATTTGAAGGCTTTATCAGAGAGCATCGCATCAATCCAGGGTGGCTGTGTAGGAAAAGATGGGTATGATGAAGTTTTAGCATCCACATATTCAGGTAAGCTTCATACATCATTTACTCAATAAACCTCACATATAACGATGTGATAAAAATGAAGCAGGCTGTGTTGTTAGTGCAGCTCACATCTCTTAAAACTTTTGTTCTGATTGGAACCGGGATAATGTTTTGTTGAAAAGATCTCTTCTGACTTGATATTTACACGTCAAAAACATGTTTTCTAGGCTTAAACTATGTTTTTGTGTTTTAAGATATTCCTAGTGTGTTCTGCTGTGTAACACAGCGGCCGGTTATTCTCTGGTGCAGACTGCTGCCTAACTGTGACATAATAATGAATGCATTGTGTCCAAAGGAATTATTTATGAGTTTTTTTTTGTATTAAAAGTATTTATAGACATGCATATCTCTCTTTTGTTTTCCTGTCTTTTACATAATTCCCTTTTCAGCTTCACCGGGCTTTAAATAAGGTTGATTTTGCTTTTAGCAGAAAATAAAGCTTCCCCATGTGAGGCATCTC